CCACTCTTGCTTCAACTTAACCTTTTTATAGCGTCTACATCGGGCTCGATGACCAATTACTGCTTACTGAACCATAACACTATGCAAATATGATGTGGCATGATTCCCGGCCGACCAATTAGTGATCACCAGCCATAACATTATGCAAATCTGTGATTCCAAGCCATAGTCTTATGCAAATCATGCCGTGTGGCGTGTTGTCTGCTGACCAATCAGTGGCTGTACTTTCAAAAAGCCAACGGCCACTTTCAACCTGCTGTCGATGACCGTTACGAGTAAAAAAAAAACTTTACTAGGTCTTACTTTCGGGGGGAGGCCTTATATTTAGCAATTCAGCCAGTAAACTTAATCCTAATTTGGCCCTTCTTCAGAAAAGGTTGTGCATCCCTGGTATAACCGTTGTATATGTTGGGAGCGGCATAAGAATTTTAGAAAGGCTTAGGTGGGGCATAGCACAAAAAAGGTTGGGAAACACTGCTTTTGAGTTTGGTTTTATTTGCTTACAGTAAAGCGACAAGTGGGCGATCTGCCGAAGGGGAATGTCTCTCAGAAGGGATTTCTACGGGAAACTGGTCCTTATTTAGGTGTTATAAACATGAATAAAACCGGAAAACTTCACGTGGCCAACCCATTGAAAAGGTGCGAACCCACGACCAACTATGTATTATTGTTCCGGTGTATCCGTCCGTTCGTGAATGAAGGACACGGAAACTACTTTATATCGATTGAAATCAATTAGACCAGTGGTGTGAAATGATAAGAAATTGTCTATATTCTAGACAATTTCTAGACAATTAGATTTCGTCAATGATAAGAAATTGTCTAGATTCTAGTCTAGATTCTAGACAATTTCTTATCATGACGAAATCTAATTGTCTAGAAATTGTCTAGAATATAGACAATTTCTTATCATTTCACAAATCAAAAACGTCTAGTTTAAAATAAAATAACAAAATTTCTATTTTTATGAATACAGAAACGAAGGTCATCAATTATGTTTATTTTCCGGGAAAATGTATTGTTTTATAGCTATTGGAAGACGTGACATACTGATTGAAGTGATTTTTCATTTTTGTAATTTTCTGTAGTCTTTTGTATCTGAGTAACTCAAGGAATAGGTAACATTGTATGCCACTGTAACAATAACTAAACCATGTCTGCAAGCGATTTCATTCTGGTATCCGTCGGCATCATTTATGTTTCTGTATCCCTGCTGAGAATTATACAAGAGATCTTCAGGATGGCAAAGCTGTATGTATTTCCAAAATTTTTTAAACAAGACCTGACAAAATTCGGAAAATGGGCCGTGATTACAGGTGGAAGCTCGGGTATAGGAAGGCTCACGGCTTTCGAGCTGGCGAAATCCGGTTTGAAGATAATGCTCGTCAGTAACGAAGAGAAGGAACTGAAGACCACCAAAGAAGACATAGAAGCAAAATTCGGTGCCGAGTGTTGCTACGTAATGGCCGATTTAACTGGTGGAAATGAAGTACACGACCGTCTTTGGAGCGAAATCAAGAATAAAGATGTGGGAATTTTCGTCAATTGCGCCGGAATTTCCGGTGGAACACCGTGCCATTTTCTGGAGGAATCGGTAAGCAACACGTTAACAATGATAGATCTCAACTTACGAGTTGTGCTCGATACTACTTACAGAATAACTAATTACTACGTCAAGAAGAATAGAGGGGTGGTGGTTAACGTTTCGTCAGTGGCTTCGTCGTTTCCGCTTCCTTACTTCGCTCTTTATTCTAGTTGTAAGAGATTCGTGGACCTGTTCACCAAAGCCGTCAACACAGAGTTAACAGACGAAGATATAATACTGCAGTCGCTGACTCCGTGGTTCATTAATACTAGAATGGTGACGGCTAATTTGAGTACGAGGAATTTCAACATGTTCATTACGTCGTGTGAAACGTTCTGTAAGAATTGGGTCGCGTCTATCGGAAGGTGTGAGAGTTACGCCGGTTACTGGTTACACGAAATTCCAATTTATGTGATACCGACTTTTCCGAAATTCTTTATCAATTTTCTCTCGAAAAGTTTATTTATTGCATTGAGAAAAAGAAAAAATAATAATAAATTGAAGCCGAAATGATTATCTTAGATTTTTACGAGGTAACATTATGTGTAAAATTAACCATAGAGGTACTAAATATGAAAATCAGAATTCTTAATAAAATGCTATAAAATTATTCCAATTTTAGTGAATTAAAATGTTCTTTACAGTGGTCTTCATAATCAAGGGGTGCCACCAAGGGCCAAGTGCATAAAACCACCAAATATCGATATTTAGTGGTGGTGGGCCACTTGGGGTTTTCTGTGTTTTATTCACGTTTGTGACACCAAAATAGAAGCCAGTTCCCCCAAAAAATCCGCTCGAAAGACATTCCTCCTCGGCACATGTGTCGAGTTGCCGTATATACAAAACACTCAATATAAAGTTGCTTAACTTTCCCGGCAACATTAAAAACTTCGTGTGGCGTCATCCGTTACGATATTTTATTTTTAAAAACTTTTGATATTTTTAATTATTTTAAAACGGCTAAAAGTTTAATTTTGAGAGTAGGGATGGATTTTATAAAAAAAAATTGTAAATGATAATAATGAGTAAAATTGTCATTAAGTCCGACCCTACTGGAGATACGCACGATCCCCTTTATCTCACCACTCCCTCGACCTTTAACAACTAAAATTTAATAGCATCAATCTCCCTAATAAACAAACCTCCTTGAAAAATTTCAGAAATATCCGACAAAAAGCTCGGGAGTTATTAAGCTTCAAACACACACTAACGTGCATACATACAGAAATCATCCCCGATTTTTTTTTCATTTCTCGACGTTTCAAGGTGTTCCAAGTCCAAAAATGTAAAAATCTTGGGGGGTCATTTTTTGACCTATGGTCATACTTTTCCTCTGTTATATATAACAGAGCCGTGAAAGCAATAACACTATTTCATATTTCGAAACCGTGTTGTATCTTTATATTATTTTTTCAAAACCGCAATGCAGCGTAATAATCAACACTTGGCATAACTCATTCGTTTATTTCAGTTTTTGTTAATATACTGAACAAAAACTAATCAACACTTGGCGTAACTCATTCGTTTATTTCAGTTTTTGTTAATATACTGAACAAAAACTAATCAACACTTGGCGTAACTCATTCGTTTATTTCAGTTTTTGTTGATATACTGAACAAAAACTGAAATAAACGAATGAGTTATGCCAAGTGTTGATTATTACGCTGCATTGCGGTTTTGAAAAAATAAAATAAAATAAAAAAGCAATAACACTAATCGAATAATCGAGGGTCATTTGAATGACTCAACAGCTAATTTCTTCCAATTTCTCTGATATTTAATGCTAAAATGGCGTTGTAATTAGTTTAAACGTTTCACATTAAGCATAAACGTCGTGAGTCATCAAATTACTTTTCAAAAGTCTAGTGTTAATCATGTGTTGCTTAAATTGATTGAGAAATACAACCTTTATTCGCTATTTGTAATATATTCTGTGAAGTGTCGAGACGAGAAGCTGCATGTAAACATTGCATTCAGTTCCACTAACGGCAGTGAACACTGATAGAAAAGAATTTTCCCCAGGTTTAAAAGACATATAGAAGCATTTCATTTCTTCAAAATTAAAAATGGCGTAAGGGTTCTCTGGTCTGGTCTTGTTCCTGAACAACAGGCTGGCCATGTGGAGTTTTCCCGGTCTTTTTCAAGTGTCTAATACCTGAATAGAAACCAGGTAGATGCCTCCCATAGAAAGTCCTCCCGGGAGGCATCCACGTTGGCAACCACGTGTTGCGTTGCTGCACCCGTTAAGTAGTTTCATTTATATTTAATTTCCCCGGGTGAAAACGAAGAGGGCCTTTCTCCATTCCCATCATGGGTTTGACCAGACTCACAATGCTGGTGACCGAGTGGCAGGACCAGAACGACCATAAAAAACTCCTAGAGTTGTCCGATGGCCCGGCTTCGGTCCAGGATTCCCAGAGCAATAGGCTAACGCCTTAATTGCCTCTGCCGTCCGTTTGTCTGTGCATCTATATTGTAATTTATCACTTATTAGATAAGAAGCGTTAACATTTGAAAACCAGAAGCAGCAAAGATGGCAGACTACCTCTCTGGAGGACCCGAGATCGATTGCAGACGGGTTGAAAAACCCCAGAAGCCCACCAGTAGCCGAGTGGATGAAACCACCGAGTAAATCGTGGGTTCGCGCTTGGCCAACGGGCTGGCCACGTAGAATTTTCCAAGTTTTCTTCCCGTTTGTAACACCTAACGGTCTAGTTTCCCATAAAAGTCCTCTCTCAACGTGTTGCGTTGCGGTAACCAAAAAAAAACCAAAACCCTAAAAATTTTTCATGATGATTCGCCCGGATATTTCTGGTTCCATCCCTCGCCACCCCCATTTTGGGTCTGGTCGAACCAATAATGATATTGCTAAAAAAAAAGCCCTCATAGTGCCACAGGGCAGAAAGACATCGAAAAAATTTTAAATTTAACTAAACCCGTATTAAAATATATTTTAAATCAATAATATTTTTTAAAAAATATATTAAATTATCGAATATTTATTAGAATTAAAAATAAATTTAATATTTTTCACTCTCTAAATTCGAAAATTTTTGGGTCACGCAGCTGTTGATTTGTTTTGGTTCAAAAGTGTGTCGCACATGGAAAATTTACAATTCGTTGTGTTTATTTATTTACCGTTTTATATTAATTATTAATCAAATTAAACATCAGATTAATTAAAATTAAAGCTTGAAGCCATTAATTACAATAATTATTCAAGAAACACGTCCCTATTTTTATCTTTAAGTTTTCTGTTCATAAACCTGTGTAAATAAATTAATAAAATGATTAATTATATATTTTCAGAATATTTATTATTTGAGATTGAAATAATAAATGAATATTTATAGTAAAAACTGTCCAAAACGGAACCCGAATGAAAGGGAAAACTGGTTTAAACGGAAGAAATTCTTCAAAACGAAGCGATTTTCTATGTTTAAAAAACACCTGTTTAAAACGGAAACCTGACATACCGAAAAATATATTCGGTGTCGAGCGATTCCGGTTCACACAGGTCTTACTGTACATAATTAGATAATTAAACACGAGTTCCTCTAATAAAGTGTGAATGTAGCATTTATATTTCGTTTCATCTTATTTATTTCATTTTATTATAGTAAAAACTGTCCAAAACGGAAACCTGCCTAAACTGGAAAAATTCTTCTAAACGTTGCGACTTTCTGTTTAAAAAAGCAAAACCTGTTCAAGACGGAAACATGCTAAACCGGAAGATATATTCGGTACCTTGCCTTTCCGGTTTACACAAGTTTTAAATTTACAAAGTCTTATAAAGTAGTAATTGCTCATGTTCTGTGAGAATTCTTCTGTATAGGCCTATTAATAAATTAAATATTTTAATTACAGTATACGGTTAAACCTTTAATAACGACCACCTCCCAACAACAGCTAGCTGTAAACTGTATGCTTTTCTATCAGTGGTCGTTCTACAGAGATTTGACTATATATATTTCTTGTATTAATTATTTGTCATTTTGTAAGTGGTCACCTAACGACCACGAGTCATCTAACCGATAAAACCACCAGACAATAGTGGGTTCGCACCTCAACAACCTTTGTAAATTGCCCAAGTGTATGTTGTACTAGCCCATAACCTATATTCCATATTCATCGTTAATTAAAATTTTTAAATTATATTATATTTATATAAGTATTGTACTTAACAGAGCACCGAATTTGGGTAGTTATTGACGTATACGAAAGGGTAAACAAACTTCTGATTGGATATTTTATCCAGGTGCGACGTACGCAAGTTTGACTGACTTCCAATTGTCATACAAATAACGAAAATAAATTCGTATTATTATTATTTAGGACTCGATGCACACTTAGGTATATTAAAACACACAAGAGGAAAATAGTAGTATTATCAAGTAGAAATAACGAGGGAAGATGAACAAACTCCTGTTCATATTCATCGTAACAGGTAAGTTAATATTTTATTTTATTTTCTAGTATTTTAAATTATATTCTGTATACTTTTTGGGTTCTTCTGTCCTATGGAAAGTCCTTAGGAGTCCTTTTTTTCCAATATCCTTCGTCGGTTCGTATCCTAGTCACGTCGCGTGGCAATAGATCGTCCATGCGATCATATATTGAAGGGTGACATCCGGAAAGACTTTCTATTCTTACTAGTTACTATTTTGGTGTTACAAATGTGAAGCAAACTCTGAAAATGCCACGTGGCCAGCCCGTTGGTGAGGCGCGAACTCGTGACTAACTGCTATTTTTCGGTGGTTTAATCCATTCGATCTCTAATGGAGTGGATAAAATAACAACGGGGAGACCGGGTGCCCCATTGCGGGTCCCTGTTTATTTGTTTTGTTAAGTTACGACAACGCAACACCTGGGCTATCTGCCTAGAGAGAATGCCTTTTGGGAGGTCTTTTTAAGGGTAACTGGCCCTTTACAGACGTAGAGAAAACCCGGAAAACTCCACGTGGCTAGCCCGTCCTGGCGCACGACCGAACTCCCAGTGTTCAGGGAACGGAACCGCTTGGCCACTGGTGGGCCGTGGGTCCCGATATATCTGGGACGTGCACGTGTTCTTAGGGTGTTGCTCGCCAGATTCGATTCCGGGTTCCCAGAGTCCCCAGACCCGTAGGCTCAGTGGCGTAGCGTGGGTGTCAGCCGCCCGGGAGGAGGAAAATTTCGCCGCACCCTTATTTAGGTATCTCAATTTAAAAGACTAAAATTCAGTTTCGTCACAGAATAAGTAATGAAAAATTCCGTGCTCATTTCAATCGGTCCGAATCGTAGGAGCGGCAAAAATATGAAATGAAATGGTTCAAATTTTTACAAGATATTATTATTATTTATTGTGAAATTTTGCCGCCCCCTAAAAAGTGCCGCCAGGGGCGGACTGCCCCTGCCGCCCCCACTACGCTACGCCACTGCGTTTTAAACATTCTTTTATGAATTACAGTTTAAGAAATGTAGTTTATTAACTTAAATTTAGCCTCGGCGGGATGGCCAAGCAATTGAGCTGGCAGTCTACCGTTCTGGAAACCTGGGATCAAAAAACCCCAAGAACTTTTTAGGGATTGTCCATCCGGATATGTTCCTTACCACCCGGCGGACCGATTGTAGACCTGGTCGAGCTCAATCAGCCGACTGCAGAGACAACGTTTAGACGCCAACGACGATTTAGAGATTATCTACATCGCGGTTCAAAAAAATTTAATTGCAGAGACGGCGTTTCTCGCTTATCACAGTTTAGACAGCGATTAGAAGCAAGTTATTTAACCTACATTCTAGACTCCCTCGATAGCAGATGTACATACCGTTTTACTTGAGTAGAAGTCGCCATATTCGTTTATTGGTTGCAATTTAAGTTTATGTTATAATGAATATTGTAAACGGGACGAATCAAGAAAATTATTCATGTCGACAATTACGAAGAGAGAAAGGGTAAACGAGATCGGAGTAATCCTTTAGAAATCTATTCGGAAGATGAATATAAATCATCTAGATGGAAGAGGATTGCCACTAACCACTGAACAACAGTTGTTGATGGCATTACGATTTTATGCCACCGGAAGCTTCCAGAAGGTAGCCGGTGATCTTATCGGAGTTCACGTCTGTCCTGTATGCAGGTCTATCAAACTACCATTAAATAAATTTAAAAAGTTTCTTGTAAAATGATAGAGACGTTTATAATAAGGTCTTGCTGCGAGCAGATCTACAAGGAAACGACGACAAAAATTCATTCTGTATCATCTCACATGCGGTTTTTTTACATCCCCAGAATACGATTGTAACTTTCTCCTCAATTGCAGGATAGTTTTTATATTATTTCTGAGAGGACACTTCTTCGGAAAAATTCCAGCATGATTTCAACACGTTGTTCATCGTCATTTTTCTGATGTTATAAACGAATGACCTGATTGGTTAAACGACTCCTGAGAGGGGGAAGTAACAGCGAAGAAAGTAATAGCCAACGTTTTGTCGCGGTTCGTTTAGACGGCGTTAAGAAATAGACGAGCGTTGTCTTTGCAACGCATTTTAAACNATAAATGATAATATACCCGAAGATATATCTGCCGATAAAAAAGCTAATATACCTGAAGTTATATCTGACGATATAAATGATAATATACCCGAAGATATATCTGCCGATAAAAAAGCTAATACACCTGAAGTTATATCTGACGATATAAGTGATAATATACCCGAAGATATATCTGCCGATAAAAACGCTAATATACCTGAAGTTCCCACTGCTGATATACCAGAAGAAATAAATAAGAACACATTTGCCGATATATCTGCCGATATAAATGCTAATACACCTGATGATATACCAGCAGAGATGATTGTCAACACACCTCATGGATCTATACCTACAGAAATATCTGCTGATATCCCTTCTAATGTGTATAGTCCTACACATGGTGTTATACCTGGTATTAAACATAATCATATATTCCACCCTGTACGTGGTCATTCATCCAGTGTTACCCCTAGTTTTATATATGATCCTGTAGCTGGTTCTAAATATGGTTTTAATTCAGATCGTGTACCTGACATTAAATCTGATTTTATGTCTAGTCCTATACCTAGTTTTAAATCTAATTTTAAACCTGGTCCTATCTCCAATTTTGCACCTAGAATTACATCTGGCATTAATACTGATCCTATATCTAGTTTTATATCTAATTTTAAATCTGCTCCTATATCCAATCCTTCATCAAGAATTACATCTGGTATTAATAGTGATCCTATATCTAGTTTTATATCTGATTTCAAACCTGGTCCTATATCCAATCCTTCATCTAGAATTACATCTGGCTTTACATCTGGTGTTATACCTGGCGTTAATCCTAATCCTATATATCGTATTAATGATGGTTCTACAGCAGGTGTTATATCCGATTCGATACCTGTTTCTAAACCCAGACGTACACTTGATTTAAACTTTGGTTCTACACTTGGCATTAATTCTGTTCCCGTACGTAGTTTAATCCCTGATATTAAACCTGGTTTTACATCTGGTATGAATCGTGACCTACCTGGTCCTGCACTTAGTTTTAATCCCAGTTCCACACTTGGTTTTAATCCTGAACCTGAACGTGGTATTAATCACGCGCCTATAACAGATTATAATCTTGGTCCTCTATCAAGTTTCAATCTTGGTTCTGAACGTAGTATTAATCACGCGCCTATAACAGATTATAATCTTGGTCCGCTATCAAGTTTCAATCTTGGTTCTGAACGTAGTATTAATCACGCGCCTATAACAGATTATAATCTTGGTCCTCTATCAAGTTTGAATCTTGGTTCTGAACGTAGTATTAATCCTGCGCCTATAAC